AGATGCAAAATTTGGGAGTGCCGTAGCATCCACGGCGTGGCAATGTCAGGCTTCTGTTGGGGAGGCAAGGTGGCCACATGTTGCCCTTTCTTCTGTCAGCTACATACATCTTTTGATGTGCACAATCACTTGGAAACTGCAGCGGAGATGTGGAGAGATCTTAGGCAATGGCAACAATCATGTACAAATTTCAACCACCTGTCATCTATCTTCAGCATCACGCACCTGTCCAAAAGGTACTCCCCGGAATCTTCCAACAGCTGTCTTCCTGAAGCTGTTCTTTACTTCCTTCCACCGATGCGCCACTAACGTGTGCAGGCATGGTGGTGGCCTGTGGATGCGAAGGCTAGCTTGTATGTCTCTGAACATTCAAGCGATGCGGACGCGGATCCAGCGAATATTTATTATTATATCCACCACAGGGGCGTCACACACGGTACGACCACTACGACCATGGTCGTACCACTTTTCGTCCAGGATGGTCCACCCAATTCATCCGAAAAAGCAATAAAAAAATTCAAGGATCTTCGGACTTGTACAAAACATCGCAACTGTTAGTAGTGTTACTTTCATTGCAAGGAGCATACAGACTTGATGCCTAGCACTAGCAGCTAGCTATTGCCCAAGACTCCAGGCGGCTATCCATTACGATAGGCGGCTGGAGTCACGGTTAGAGACAACCAGACGATGGATTCCTCACGGACGCATTCACTGCAAACTTGACGGAAACAGAGCTGAGCTGGCGGCGATCACTGGGTCCAGAACTAAAATTTTCCAAGATCTACCATGTTACAATGGCGATCAGTACGTCAAGAGACACTACATGTATGTCACTTGTCAGCTACAACATAATAATTATATTCTTTCCACAACGACACCTACCTAGTACCTCTGGCTCCTGACGATCTACTGCAAGCGGATTCGAAAATGCATTACACCCGCGAACGCAGCGCTTGTCAACGGAAAAGGGAAGCGCTTCATTCTCCGAAGTTGAAAAGTGTTTGGACTGCTGCTCCACGGCGGCAGAATATTCTGCAGCTGTTCACCGACACGACCCGCTTCACCTATATTATAACGATTTACGATCGTTTCGTTCCCCGAGTTTTCTGGTAGCAGCAACAAGAATTTCGTCCAGTTCCCAGTTCATACATAAATACGGAATACCATAAGATTTATGGTGTCGTAACATTTATGGTGACCAAAGCAAGGGTCTCCTTGCTGCGAATTCTATAATATTCTCAACCAAATTTTGGCCAGGAGCCAGCATCATCAGGAGTTCCTACATGTACATAGATATTGAATCATGTTGCTCTACTTCTGAAGTACTTCCCCAGCCTGACCTGCCGTAGACTGATCCCGCGGATATGCCCACCCGCGGATAAGCCCATGCCCGCGCATAAGCCCAGGGATTGTTCGAACATCACAACGCTTCATCGTCCAAGCCCATGGGCTTCGGTCATACCGAGAGTCCATAAATTATGGACTCTTGGCCACACCATGTACGTAGTACATGCACATTAGTTCTTTTTTCGTGGTTGTTTTTGTTTGCACAGTGGTTTTCAGCAATGTACTTCTCACTTTTCAAAAGCACAACTTGGTGTCGGGGTATAAGCCCATGCCCGCGTATAAGCACATGTCCTCGTACAAGCCCACCGAAATGTCTCTGTGTGAAACAGATAAGCCCATGAGCTTATCCGCGGGATTCTACGGTATCCTCCACCGGCAGACATTTTCTATCATTCCTTTGCTCCTTGCTTTGCTTTTCCTTCTCCGTTCAGTCCTACGGCTGATCTCATGCCATTAATGATGCTGCTCCATGACCATCAGATTAAGTTGATGCTGTAGTGCTCGCTATGGCTAAACAATGGCAAGCACAGACGGCGACGGACGCTGAAGTGCAGGCTCAGGCAATGCAACCAATGACGTGGACAAAGAATTCGTCCGGCCATGGCAACACGAAACTGGATCGGTTCTGCCCCTGAAGTATCGCAGCGTCGCTGGGCAGTAAGTTGCATGTGAGCACCACCCAGACAATTACATGTATACCGTATTTTCCGGAGTGTAAGCCGCACTGGAGAATACACTGCATCCAGATTTTTTTGTCACAAAATGCAGGCATCCACCCTGTATATCATGCATTTGACCATGGTAGTATCAACCACACTGACTTTTTTTTGTGGTGAATGACGAGTGTTTAAAGCGCGGCTTACACACCGGAAAATACAGCACTCAAATGACCCGATAGCTTGTAGAATGGAGTAGCCTTGGTCCTGTATAGAGGGCGATGGCGCTCCTACAGATGAGGAAAAACTCGGCCTCCAGCCTCGCCTCGCGGGAACCGTGAATTTTTATTTGTAGAATGGCAAGCGCAGATACACAGCAGCCATGGACTCTCACAATTTTCTCGCCCGGTACAGCAGCAGATCAATGTAAAACCAAGTGACTCACCAGACTGCTCAGATCCTCGTAGATCTTCTCGTTCTGGTCGCCCAGCACACCCCACTCCATCTTGATCTGATTGAAGCGCGGCGCCTTCTTCTTCTTGGCGTAGAGACTGAGGAGCTCGGCGCATTCCGTGCGGTCCAGCTCCTGCGCCAGCTGCAGCGGTGTCTTGTCGTGACGGTTCTCGATGGTGGCGTCGGACTCGGCGCGAAGCAGCAGCTTGATGGCCTGCGGCAGGTCGCGTTCGACGGCCAGATGAAGCGGCGTGGTGCCGTGAGCGTCGGGTCGGTTCACCGCCGCGCCGTTGTTGATCAGGAAGTCGAAGACGTGCAGCGAGTGCTCTTCCTCCGCCTCCAGGTGCAGGTGCAGCGCGTTGCCGTCGTGCTCCGTGTCCTGCAGGACGTTGGAGAAGTCGAAGCCCTCTTGCTGGATGTGCAGCACGGCCTCCAGGTCGCCGCAGTGGATGGCGTTGGACAGGTCCGACAGCATCTCGGTGGCGCTGCGGCCGCTCGGGCGCACCCACTTGTGCTCGACGTACTTGGCGCGAATGAAGTCCTTGCGCTCCACCATGCTGGCGTTGCTGCTCAGCTTGGGCACGGTGAGATTCTCCTCCGTCACCTCGTTGAACGCGTAGTTGCCCATGCGATGCGCCACCAGCAGCTCCGCCGTGCACAGGTTGTCCAGGACCAGGGACCTGACGCGAGAGAACTGCACGCCGAGTTCGCGGTGCACGCCCGAGCACTCGATGCAGACCAGGATGCCCAGGTTGGTGGAGATCCAGGGCGGGTCGGGCGCGCTGCAGTCGCAGCACTGGTGGTTGCCTGGCAGGCAGCGGATCACCTCCACGATGCGCTGCGTCAGCTCGTTCATCGACTTGACCACCGACGACTCCTCGCCGTCGTTCGTGGGCGCCAGGTGGCTGTTGAACAGGTGCTCGAGGGTGTTGTTCAGCACGCCCATCCACTCCTCCTTCTCCTGCTCGTCGTCCGCCTGGAAGATGTACTTGCGGTTCTGAGAGTGCAGCGCAAAGCATGGCTTCTTGGCCATGTCCAGCTCGTCCTTGCACTGACAGGTGAGCAGCGGGAGGGTGACGGTGGGCGGCTCGCGCGGCGAGTGCGCTATGGAGAAGATGCCGTCGGCGATGGTGCAGTAGCGCTTCTGCCACGCCTTGCGGATGCCGTCTGAGCGCTTCTGCAGCGGTCCGCTCTTGCTCAGGCCGTGCTGGCGCTCGCGCTCGCGCTTGTCGCCGAACTGCCGCATGCCCGGGTTGATGGCGCGCTGCTTGTCTCGCTTCACGTCGTTGGGCGAGAGGAGCGACTGCACCGTGCGCTTCATGTCCATCAGGTCGTTGCGTTCCTCCTCGTAGCGATTCTTGCGGATCTCCGAGACGTCCGTCGACAGGTCCGCCACCCACTGCGACACGCCCGACAGCTTCTGCTGGCTGTCCTTGACGTTGCTGCACTGCGAGTGATAGTACTCGACCAGGTGCTGCGCAAAGTCCGACGTCTTCTTCAGGCCGATCTCGTTCACCTTGAGAAAGTACTCGCACGTCGCAAGCTGAAAGCCGCGCCGTTCCTTCTCCAGTTCCTGCGCCGTGTCCTCCGGTTTGAACTCTGTACGCTGCAGTCCCGCCGCCTCCGCCTGACGACGCTTCTCGCGCTCGACCCGCGCTCGCGCACGCTCGTGCTCGGCATAGGCCTTGTCGAACGGCTTCTTCAGGTTGCCGCTCATGTCGTTCTTCAGGAGCGACTCCAGCGGGAACAGCACGATCTTGTTCATGTTCTTCAGCTGGTTCTCCTGCGTCTCCGTCATGTCCTTGACGATGACGGCGAACTTGAGGAACGCCGTGCCGATCTTCGGCTGCGTGGGCATGAAGTTTGTGCCCAGCTTCTCCATGGAGTCGGAGAACGCGTTCTGGGTCTTTATGTACTCTTCGCCACAGTGCACCATCTTCTGCATGCCGGACACCAGCTTCTTCAGCTGTCGCTTGTCATTATCCAAGCCCTCGTCGATTTTCAGGATTTCCCTGCGCAGCGTCTCCATGCGCAGCTGATACGTGGACGTCGACGGTGAGTTCACGTCCTCCTGCGTGTCCTTGAGAAACGCCGAGACGGTCATGCGCTCGCGCTCCGACGCGGAGAGCGAGCTGCCGAACGAAATCGCCATGACTGGTTTCTCTCTCTCTCTCCGTGCCGCGTCCGTCACTGCTCTGCTCAATTGGGTCCCAGATCCCGCGATTCTTTCCCGCACAGGCAGCGGGCGCTGAATGACGAGCGAGGGCGAGGCTGAGGAGAAAGGGCACCTCTACCCTATATGTAAGCGCACCAGTGTGCAGGGACAGTCGAGACTTGTGTGCGCCAGGCAACGACTGACCGATGCGCCTGCAGCCAGGAGATATCCAAGCTCCCTCTCGGAGTGGTCAATGTCAATGGCTGACTGTTTTCCACGCTGTGGGCACAGATGTTCGACGCCCTGAATACAAATTACGGCTCATCTCCAAATTCAGGCGCGACTCGACAATCTAATTCTTAGCGAGCTGATTTTCTCGCTCGTCCCCACCGCTGGTCGCTAAAGGTACAAACCAAGCTAGTGTGGCCGTTCTGCGAGTGGTGCTTGGGCTGAACAAATTTCGCCAATCTCGGCCTGGAAAAGTTTAGTTGCTTTCCTGCTGCTTTCGTGGCTGAAGCAATGGCCACTTTTTTTTGCTGCTGTGCATGTGCCCAGCGCCCAGCCGTACCCCGACGCGACGTGCATGCCAGCTTGGGGAGTTGGGCCCATCAACCGACAGCAGATATCTGTACACTACATGATCTGACCGCACATGGCTGTCTTTTACAGACTTGCACTACATGTAGTTTACACACATGTACAGTCATGTAGATCTACATGCGCCAACACTTGAAACAGACTGCCCGCACTGACATGAAAACTAGCCTGGCTGGAGCCGTGGAGGCTGTCAGGAGTAGGAAATACGGTTTTACTAATTATTTTAGTCGCGTTTACATGTAGACTGTAGATCTACATGACTGTACATCGTGGAAATGATGCTAGCGATAGTGTAGTCTGTCTGAAGTCTAGGTCGGAGTGAAATGGTCAAAACCTCAAACTGCTCACTTCAAGTGCCGCATACTCAGTACCGGCAGATTTTGCTATAGTATAGCGCTAGTTGCGAGTGGCGAAATAGTGTTGATAACTTGATACTGTACAATCATGTATCTGAATGGCAAACAATGATGTGCATTGAGTTGCAAACCCATGGTACAATTATTTTACGAATGAAGAGCTCCAAACAGCTCCAAAACGCGATAAAGACCAAACCCGGAGCTTTGCGTTTTTTGGTCACGAAAGAATTCGTTTTCACCCCACAGACATCTGTGTGTCAGTTTTGCGGGTCAAAGCGCGATACATCCCAGTCAATGATGCCTGAAGTTTGTGTTCTTCTGCAAAACGCGATAACAGTCAGTGACTCAGGATGCTTCAGTGATCATTAGGGTCCGGCGGATTCTGCCGGCAGAAAAATTGGCAGAATTCGGTCCTTTTTTTGGTAAGACGTAAGTTTCATGCATGTTTGGTATGTGGATAAAAAAAATGGAGCAGAATTCGAGGAATTGCCCGCCACTGAGTAATAATGGTTCTGCCAATTTCACTGCTTTTCGAGCAGAATCTGCCACCTTTTCGAGCAGAATCCGACGGTCCCTAGCCCCTAGGTCTGGATACTAGACTCAGTACGAGTGTATGCTCCGGTGGATACGTGTATTTAGCAAGAGTACATACATTGTACATGTACAGTGCTGGCAACTGAAATCCGACCCCTTGAGCGGCGGGCTCACATTCTAGCGGTCTCTGTTTCGTAGTTTTACCATCCCTTGTTGAGTCTTTGCGATGTGAGCGCACCGCTCAGGGGGTCGGATTTCAGTTGCCAGCAATGTACTAGTACATGTAACCATGTACTCGGACTTAGTACAAAAGTCATGTACAGTAAAACCTGTCACGGCGACCACTCGGATAAGCGGCGACCACCTGTCCTAAAGGACCACTAAAACCAGGACCAAGGGATACTGTTTCCAGTCAAATGACCCTGGATAAGGAGACCACCTGGTAACAGAGACCACATTTTGAAGGTCCCTTGAGCGCGGTTGTCTAATAGACAGGTTTCACTGTACGTTATCAGCAGGCCTGGTTGGTCAGGTTTTACCTGACCAGCTTTTTGCCCACCAACCTGATTGTGTTTACCATGGTTTACCATGGTTTACCATGGTTTACCATGGTTTACCATGGTTTACTACTGTGGTGGTTATTTAAACCCGCCATATCACACACAAACTGTATGAAAGGCCATGATGCTACCGGACCAATCAAAAACTGCTTCCGGCGGTCCTGACATGTACAGTCATGACTCATGTATCACTGATATACATGTACATGTAAAGACTGAATCATTGCTCCTGCCACCTAATCAACACAATCAAGTAATATTAGTTTTACAATCATGTATCGCAGCCTGTCAAACCCTATTTATAGGGTTTTCAGCATACAACATGACGATTGACGTACACACTTCCTGATCAGAGTGTTCATATGGAGCGGTATACACAGCCGAGACGCAGTGGCAAGATAGGCTGGTGCTGGTTTGGCACACAAAACAAACGAAGGGCTCCTGCAAACAATAGTATTTAGTCTATTGTGTGGAAATAATTTGGGGAAGTGCCTTTTTCATTTTTTTCATTTTCGGTCTGGACTGCAGCTGCAGCATCGCTGCCATCACCATGATCACTAGGGACCGGCGGATTATGCTCGAAAAGGTGGCAGATTCTGCTCGAAAAGCAGTGAAATTGGCAGAACCATAATTATAAACCATATGGCGGGCAATTCCTCGAATTCTGCTCCATTTCTTTATCCACATACCAAACATGCTTGAAACGTACCAGAAAAAGTACCGAATTCTGCCAATTTTTCTGCCGGCATTATCCGCCGGTGGCCCGGTGCCTAGGCACTGCCCATAACTACCGGCACATGTATAATGTGCTTCAAGTGCTGAAGTACTTGGAAATGTGCATAACTCTGAATCATGCACGTTTTGATGGGGAACTTGAGGGCCAGAGATCTGGCATATGGCTTCACCGTATTTCCATAAACATTGGCAAAAGACTCTTGGTATTCATTTGTTTGAGGGAAAGGTGCAAAGATAATGGGAAAAGTCGGAAGAAAAGTTGACTGCCATCACCAGGACTCGAACCACGGACCATCGCTTGTGGCCAGCGATGCTCTACCACGAACGTGTAGCCATCATCCAAGCAGCGACCGTTCAACATTTTCTTCAGACTTCGACTCGATAGCCTGTGATATTCTCACCAAACTCACCCATGGGCCAGGGGTGCCCAATAGGCCGGGGTCCCTGTAACTTTGAAGTCTGATTAGGCGGATAAGAGAGATATGGTTTGGTTTGGTTTTTATTATTGCAGTTCGTTGCCTCAACATCCTAAGGGTGTGCAGCGTTGCCTCAACAGTACAAAGTACAAATATCAAGCGGGACGAACGAAAAGAGAAAGTAAAACAGAGCAGAAAGGAAGATGCAACTGAAAGGAAAGGAAGTATGAGTGTAATTTGAAGCTCGGATGTTGAGCCATAATAATAATAATAATAATAATTCTCGTCTACGTTCCAAAGGGAACTCACGACAATGGAGTGACAAAAAGCACCGCGGCAACAAAAAGCACCGCGGCAAAAAGAGAGAGAAAAGAGAAGATATGATATTTGACGAAAACAATCACGGTGTAGATTTCACATGAGTTCCAATACACCACATCAGCAAAGCTCTTCCTTAGAAAAATAAAAAAATAAGATAAATGAAATGAAATCATTGGTCATCACAGTTAGTCATGTGCGTCCACACCAAAATCACAGCCGGTCATGTGTGTTCACACCACCGCAGAACAAATGTTACTCCACTTCTGCCGGTCAACTGCACAACTTCTTAGCCATAAATAAATGTAGAAAAGAAAAGGACATATGGATACGAGTTAAGAGGTCGTGTGACACAACTTGTTTTGTAGTCAACTAGTCCATCACAATGTCAGGCATGAGGAGTACTGTAGGAGTTTGGCTTTCGGCTTGAACAATTCGTTTTCGCAAAGCTTCCCCTTTCTTTACTTATCTTTGATATTTATGACCCACCCAAGTTGGGTGGTGTGCTGCTTTGCTGCTTCGAATTGTAGTCAGACCGCTTTGTCAAATATCGTACTGGTCTCGTCATCGTCCAGTAACAATCGACATTCTTTGTTCCGTTGGGACTGAAGCTTTTGCTCGTTTTCGTTGCGCTTGCCTTCCCCTCTTTGGTCTTTTCATAACCTTGAACCTTCCAAGTTGGAAGGCTGTCGGTTAGCGCTACGGAGATGTGTTGAAGCTAGGTGTCAGGACACCGAATATCTCAGTACTCTGTCAGTTTTGTGCCTAGTTATTGCACTTTCTGACTGTATATAGTATCCAGTTACAGTGATGGAGAGTTACTCTTAACTCGTATCCATATGTCCTTTTCTTTTCTACAAGTATGAGTGTAAGTAAAGTAAAGTTTGCACGTCCGCGTTACCACCGGCTATACAATTGCGTTGAGAAACACAATCAGCTTAGGAAGTTTCGAGTGTATAATATAATATCCTGATGCCGTGACAGACACTACACATCCATTTAACGAGAAGATACATGTATATGTATCACAGTTTATCACTCTCTTATTATTGACCCCCACAGAAACTTGTGATCTCTAAGCGGTCAAATATCAGCATATATTGACCGCTTATATTGACCACTTATTATTGACCACTTAGCCCGAGGACTTAGAACTTTTTCCTCAACTTAGAAAAAAATCAGAACTGAAAGAAGAAAAATCTGAAGCCATATGCTGGGATTTGAACCCAAACTGTCAGATTCTCAGTCAAAGAACTTGGGGAACATACTACAAGAGACAACTGAAAACTTCGGTTTACACAGAAGTAATGTCCAATGTAAACGGCATATCTACATACTATTATACTATTACAATAGTATTATTTTCTTCACAGTAGCAAAGCAAAACCAGTTTTAGGTATGCTATGTCGTGATAAATCTATTATTGCCCTCATAATCGGTCAATATATGAAATATAGACCTCGTAAAAGACCTCGGGGGACCTCGGTCTTTTACTCGTTCTATATTTCATATATTGACCTCTTTAATCGTGCAATAATAGATACATATTAAAGATCCTGCAGTTCAACTTTTCAGGCATCATACTATCACACCTGCACTAAATGTGAGGCTTTATAGCTTCAACAGAATTACATGGTACATACCCGACGGGCCGTCCGAGAAAAGCACCGTCAACTTCTACCGGTTTTCTGTTGGCGTTATCCGCACAGGGCTATTTCAAACCGATAGTTTGACGTTTCTGTCCTGTTTCTCCGGAATCATCGCGTCCTTACGTCTTACATCCAGAGTACATAGACCTACTCTTGCTTACATACATCCCATTCGTTGTGGCTATCCTTCAGAATCTTCCAGTGTTTGCCTACGGCTCATATGGGTAGTTCCATGCCGCACACAACAGGGCCGGAGCCACTGGTACGGCTGGCGCCGCGGGCCAGTTTTTACGAATTCCCGGCGGGGCCTTCACAGCCTTGTCCAGTGTGTGATAAAGTATGTAATGTACTGAATGAGTAAATCCTTCCAAGAGTCTCTCTCTCTCTTTCTCCGGCACTCTCTCTCTCTCTCTCTCTCTCTCTCTCTCTCTCTCTCTCTCTCTCTCTCTCTCTCTCTCTCTCTCTCTCTCTCTCTCTCTCTCTCTCTCTCTCTCCTCTCCCCCCCCCTCCCTCTCTCCTAAACTGTTCTTTGTGTCCTGCGAGGACTACTGTGCTAGCAGCATCTGTTGCCAGCGGACTGCGTGGATGAAACAAAGTCATATTCAGTAATCATGATGCATAGTGGCTAGACCTGCCCTCTCCCATGATATGGACATTGGATATGGGAACATCATGATCGGCCCTGTTGTGACTGACTTGGGGTCGTACCACCCCTCATGACATGAGCTACAATTGTAGCTGGGTCCGGGCCTGTGTAGTCTGGTAACTACATGTATACTGTCCCCTCCAATGAGCTGTCACACTCTAGTCTAGCTTATCAATCTTATCAAGAGTACATACATACGTGTACAATGTACATACATGTAAAACCAAGAGTATTATACCCCCCCCCCCCCCCCCATGTACTCTTGGTAAAACGTTCATCTGCAGATTCGATTTGTTGCGACTCGTACTGTGACGTTACGGCTCACAGGTGCACTCAGCAAGCAGTCAGCACCTTTCGTTTGACTGTCAGGTATCATTCATAGTCGGTTCATGGGCGAAGATACATGCTTTGTCGATGGCTCTGTGCATCATCATGGGCTGCAGCCGAACAGTTCTGTGTTCCGAATCCGAGTGCTTGCACTGCTTGGCAGTCCTGACGAATTCCTGGAGTCTCCCAGGAGAGAGGTTTCACCCCCGCTTATACCATGTACAGTTAGCTGTACATATACAAAAAGTCATGTCCATGTATTCTCTCTCTTATTTGGCTGCAGACAGATGGAATAGTGCTCCATCTGATATCCGCACTGCTGCATCGCCATCCCTATTTCGCCATGCATTACTTTCATTCTTAGACTTAGGGTACCCCGTAAGAAGACCTTGAGTCTGTGGGGATTGCCCTATCAAAATATGAATAAATAATAATAATAATAATAATAATAATAATAAGGCCAAAACAAATAATGACCTTGTTTCCGGTCGCCCGACCGGGCCACTTTTTCCCAAATTCTGAAACTTTTTTTTGGTCCCAAATGCATACAAACGGTGGCAATGCCATGTGTGCAAGTGCACTCAACGAGTCATAACTCAGTCAAATCTCAACCGAATTCCGCAATCAAAACACCTACAAGGTAGCAGAGATTCTCAGCTGTCGGCTCGAAAACCTCCGGGATCGATACGAGTTAGAATAACGGAGCTGGAAGGACTCGAACTGTTTGCTTGATTTCTCAGGATGTACGAAAACAGGAATACACCACATGCTGTACAAGAACAGTGAGTCAGTCAACTTTGACATTGATCCTTGCCATGATATTATGTACAATGTACATGTGTAGGTGCTCTTGTCCATCAACACCACAACGATTGAGGAACCAAAAAAAGTATCCAAAAAAAGTTTTATTCCGGCCGACCGAGTCTCCTTTTTGAGGGGTTGCCGACCGGAAACAAGCCTATTTTTTGTTTAGGCCTAATAATAATGTATACAGCTTACAACTTATACGTAGAACGCAGATGGCTCACACTCGAGACATGCACCTCGAAATTATCCAGAACTTCAGAAGACCCAATACTGGCAATAGGCCAATGATTATGTCTCCGTAGTCCGTACCCCATGTGATGTCCAGTGATTATGTAAGTAATTCCCCTCCTTCCTGTGTTTATTGGCTGTCTCCTTGGATACTGTTGCACTGACTGCAGTCCAGTGGAGAGTCTACGTCATCATGATCATGGGGTACAGGAAAATGTCATTTTCTCTGCAAAAATTTGATCAAAAGTACGGCGCACCACGTGCCGCCCGTCTGGCACGTTTCGAAATCTGCTGTGCACTTTCGGCCCCATCGACAACACAGTCGACAGATAAACACTGACAAGATCGAGGCTGTTGATGCTGATTGCTGAAATCTGGAGAAGGCTGATGTGCCGCGAGCCGACACGGCCGGTGTGGACGAATGGCATGGCAGGCTGAGAGCATCTCCGAACAACTTTCTTTCCATAAAATAGCACCCTCTCTTCTCTTCTTCCTAAAGAAAGCTCGTTGCAGCTCCGGCTGAGCTGGCTCTTCGCGTGTTGCATGCGAGCTTTTGTTGAGAGTTTCAAAAATTGCCCAATCAATTCTCAAGTCATTCAAAGAGAATTTACGAAGTGATTTCCTTCGGAAGAAAGGCTTGTACTCCAAATAGCAATGTTGAGTCAGGTGCAGGAGCGGCGAGACGTAGCTCTGGCCGACTTCTACAAGAAGCCCACCACCAAGCGAAAGCACGACGAGCAAGGTTGGTGGAGAATGGGCCTCTAAACTGATTTATTGAGACTGAACTTTTTTTTATTTTTACTTCAGCCTTGTATTATTACGAGCATCATGCAGAGTGTTGCCTTGAACGTTGCTGTCATTCGAAAAGTATTCAATACAATAAATTCCAACTCAACGGCAAATGCACCATGATAGTAATGAAAACTTAAAAAGAAGTACAGCTCACATTATGCTAGTAACTCAGGAAAGAACATGTTTGAGGTGTCTGCCAAATCTTGCCGTTCTTCTCTGTGTATTGCCTTCCATGGGGCATCCGAAAGGAACAAGTTCACTTGTTGCAGGCTGCTTGTGTTATAGGGTGATCCACTGCATACGGGACCGACCGCAGGTAACGCATGTCGGTGTCACCTGTTGAGATCGACACCAGTCCAGGGACGCGGGTCCCGGGGTGTCCCGCACAGCATGCCCGGAGCGGTCTGCGGTGTTAACGTGTGCTCGATGCCACTATCTACAGGACTGCAGAAGGAAATCCGATCAAGCGAGTGAATACCATGCCTCCGGGCGCTGCTCAGCCCTTAGACCTGCGAACACTGCAATGCTGTACTAGTACAGAGCGCAAACTTGAGCGCCACGATCGGATTTCTTTGAGCGGCCACTGTACTGTATAACATGCTATTTTCGGTGTACAGTCAACACCTATGGTTGATAAATATGGTGGTAAAGACACACCTGGCAATATGGCGGTAAACACACGCCTGCCCACACACGCTCTCTAAGCTGCAAAGTTCTGGCACAGAGCTCTCCTTCTCACCACCACCACCACCACCACCATCAGTTCGCGCCTGGCGCCTAGTTATATAACAGCAACATAGCTGCAGTGGTGTCTTCAACTTCATTCAGTCGACACCTGAAATAACAAACACCATTATGCATGAGAAGTGATTCTTTATAGCCAAAGTTCGTTATAACAGAAATGCATTCACACTATACAAGCAGCAAGTCACGACTGACATGTGCCCCATGGCATGGCAGTATGACTGACATGTGCCCCATGGCAGTATGACTGACATATGCCCCATGCTGTCCCTGCGGGAATTTGCGGAAAAAAACTCTCGAAACCTTGCGCAAGAAATTGCGGCAGAAAACAACAAAAAATGCGACGAAAAGTGCGGAATGATGCAGAACTTGCCAGGAATTCGCAGAAGTATTTGCAGAAAATTGCGGGTTTGGGCCAAAATCACGAAATTTGTTGCATCGCATATCTACTCGGAATTAGTATGAGTCGTGCTGTGCAAATAACCTACATTCATTGTACAGGATCATGGAAAGCACTGCGTGAAAAGTGCATAGAAAATGTGAGATATAGTGCAGAAAACAACATTAAAACGCGGGAAATCGCGGATTTTGCTGAAAATCGCGGGTTTGGGCCGAAATCGCAAAATTTGTTGCATCCGTGGAATCGCGATTTCCTGGAGGGACAGCCCATGGCAGTATGACTGCACTTGGTTTACATACAGCACTACAAGATGTATACTCATAAAAAGGACACACTTCCGCCTCATTACAAACATCTTGAAAGTTTTTGTCTTCACAAGTATACTTTCAAGCCTTCTCGCCATTTCGCCTGGCGAGAAGGCTTGAAAGTATACTTGTGAAGACAAAAACTTTCAAGATGTTTGTAATGAGCCGGAAGTGTGTCCTTTTTATGAGTATTATCGCATTTTTGTCTCAGAGGAAACTGACTACAATATTTGGTTGGTTATAAACGAAAACTGTTCACTGTAAGTGATTGTAGGTGTTCAAACTGGGGCATGCATGGACAATGGTTCGCTATACAGGTGAAATCCTGATAATTCGAACCTCAAAATGCCAGAAAAAAACTTCTAATTATCCGGACATTCTAATTATCCAAACATGAACCCACAACTCAATATGTATGTCGAAATGCTCTCATGGTCACGCAGAGTTGCGCTATGGACCTTAGACACAAATTTTACGGACACTGAACTGACCGGCACAGCCTGCTCGTGCAAACTGAACTGACCAGTACAGTGTACAGTGAACTTCGAATTACACTTTGCTAACTTCGAATTATCAGCACAAATCCCACACATTTTCTATGTAAGTGGAATCTGTGGGACTTCTAATAGATGATATGCCAAATAACGCGCAACTAGACTTGAGAGGGCATCGCACACAAGTTGCATACAAATTATACTACAATGTGTACATGGAAGACCCTGAGCTCTGCAGGAATGCAAGTCACAGGTAACCGTACAACTTTGAACTTTGTATGCAACTACTCTGCAATGCCCTCTCAAGTCTAGTTGCACGTTATTTGGCATATCATGTATATATAACGAGGAAGCAAATCTAACGTTTTAACGGACGACATTTCTTCGTTATAATAAGATCCGTTGAGGCCGTACTGCTTCATATATGCTGTGTGTGGATATGGCAGAATACTGCAAGATCGTTAACATATCTTCTCGTTAACCTATGAATTTTGGACAATCGTTAAATTTGCGACTCGTTATAATAACATGTCTTACAGTATTAACTGGACATGTCCAGTTCGAGGTTCGAATTATCAGAATTTTTTAAGTGGGAATCGTATTGACAGAAATCGGTCCTGGAAAAACTTCTAATTAAGCGGTATGTTCGAATTAGGCCATATTCGAATTATCAGGATTCCACCTGTATCACGAAATTTGCTATAATATGCGAATTCGTTATAAGTGGAGTCGACTATTATTTTAATTTCGGTAGAGGAACCAGTCACCTACATTTAGGTAACACCTATACGGCGCTACAGTCCATTCATCGGAAACTGGCCCGCTGGCTTTTGAAAGTTGGATTTGGGCCGAATTGAGGATCAAAAACCCACTTTAAATCTCAAAAATCTGGGTTTTGGATCTGCTTCTCCATACACCTTGCCATGGCATACCTGTCCTAATTTTGTAAAACCTGGCTGAATTTCTATTTCCCTGTTCTTGGACTTTTCTGGCCTCAAATGTGGCAAGGAGTAATTGCACGGGTCACACAATGCAGGATGTACTGTTGTTTTCACGATATCTAAAACTATGTGAGAGGGACACCAAAAAGTTAGGGTGCCAGTTTCCAATGAATGGACTGTAGAGTACGCACTGTTTGTGAAGGGTAGGCTGATCACCGAAGTCAAAATTTCACCTGAAACCTGGCAGGTCCCTGATACCGAATTTTTACTACAGTAAAACCTGTAACTAAAGACCACTGTGTCTAGCGACCAGCCTGGTACTACAGACCACTTTGCCAGGCACGGACGGTCTCACATTCATGTATGGTTGTGCGGTGCAAGCCTCTAACTAAGGACCGCCTGCCAATAAAGACTGCTTTGTCTGACCCCAAGGGCCGGGTGGTCGTCAGTCACAGGTTTTACTGCATGCGTGTGGTACATGGTGTGTGTGCGCGTGCGCGTGTGTGTTTTGTTTGGTGTGTGTGTGTGCGTTTTGTTTGGTGTGTGCCGTGATTGTAGATGGCTCTGGTGGAGAGCGGTCGCCATCGTCGTCGACACCCGTTGCCAAGCTACCCAGGCAGGAGAAGGCGACGGGCATACAGGGTGAGTGGTGGCAACTTGACCTCTTCTCCTAACCAGGGAGTAGTAAAATACCGGTATTTTACAACTCCCTGCTCCTATTACTGAGTTCGTTAAATTTTGCCCACGAATCGATGTTGACCCCATTCATGAATCGCTCCTGGCTATTCACATCTCACCATGTGAATAGGGTGAATGGATTCCGAACCTATTCCAGGGCTCATAGCATGAAATCGAACGACGAGATTCCATTCATGAATCGATTCATGGCAGTAATCGAACGCACCCACTGGCATGCGGTGGCTTGGCATTCATGCAAGTGCATGATTTTGCGGGGAAACCTTTGCGGTCTGGAAACTTTCACGTTTTTCGCAATGGACATGAAATCGCCAAAAGTAGCCCGCGCACAGCATAGAGCTGCAGTCAAAAACTAAAGAATTTGACTCCAGTCGTGAACATATCCACGAACTAAAACAAGCGCAAAAGTTCCCCAGCTTGCAGTGTGTCGTCTCTGCTGGCAGTTTGATGCTTACTCTTGGCCAAGCTGTTTTGTGTGCCCGCACGTGCGCGTTTGCATGTATGCGTATGTGCATGTGTGTGTGTGTGTGCGTATGTGTACGTGCATGCGTGTGTACGTGTGTACGTGTGTTCATGCGTGTGTGCATGCATTTGTTCAGGCATAGTGTCGTGGGTGGAGAACTCGTCGCTACCCAGCAAGTCCATGGTTCTGACGGACATCGGTAACCACTCGTATCCGCAAGCGTGCATGCTACTACTGACATCACTCAAGGTTAGCTGTGAAATTGTGTTTTTTTAATTTTCTTACTGAATCCTCATACTTTCTCTTGTGGTTCAAGCAATGGGCAAACTCGTGTTCAGTGCAATCACGATAGATGCATCCAGTCGAACGCACTTGTGCAATAAGCCCATTGCGCAATGATGTAATTTGTACGATAAACATGTTAACACCACACAGCCACCTGGGCGGTAGTCTAGGGTGTTGAACAGTGCATTCCAGATCCCAGCGTACTCGCATGCATTACTCGTACCTTCCATATTTGGCAATGCTCAATGGGCTTATGCACGCCCGCACCTGGTTATATTTAATGCACCATGCGCTATGAAATGATCACACCACTTTGCATTGCAGCATGATGATGATGTGTGTGTACGTGTGTTTGTACGTGTGTGTGTGTGTATGTGTGTCTGTCTGTCTGTCTGTCCGTGTGTGTGTGTGTGTGTGTGTGTGTGTGTGTGTGTGTGTGTGCATGCGTGCACACGCGTGCGTGTATTGCTTTCTCCGCCTGCTTCCTCCAGGAATACTTTGACATTGGGCTGACTGTGTTGCAAGCATCCGCACCGTCGTCCTCGGGTTCTGCATCCTCGGCGGCGCCAGCCACATCACACACCATCCCTGGACGTGCACGAGTGGACGAACTCATGGCGTCGTTCATGAAGCCCCTCACAACTCCCCTCTGCGCAATGGGTAACTTTTGTTGCTTTTGGTCGTCGAGCGTGTGTGTATGCATAGGTACTTCAAGTACGTCATGTATTAGGATGTTCGTGTGCGCGTGTTTTTGTATAGGCAATCAACATGGTTTGATTGGTTGTGCCGCTCTGAGTATGTTGATGTTGCTTTTGCTGCCGCTGTTGCTGTATGTGTGTGTGTGTGTGTGTGTGTGTGTGTGTGCGTGTGTGTGTGTGTGTGTGTGTGTGTGTGTGTGTGTGTGTGTGTGTGTGTGTGTGTGTGTGTGTGTGTGTATGTGCATGTGTGTGTATGTGTTCACGTGTCCAATGTGCACTGTTCAGAGAAGGCCATCCGACGTTTGCCGCCATCCGGAGGCGACATCTCGATGTTTCAGCACATTCACCCCATCCATGAAGCGCAGTTCATGACAGCTCTGGTCAAAGTGTTCGACACACCGCTCACACGCTCGTCGGTGGCGGAGGATGGCGAAGAGAAGATCAGCCCGGTGGACGCCTCACACTCCGCCGCGGTCGACTGGTGTCTCCTAGACGTCCTGCTTACACCCTTTGCCAACTCGGTACATCTTCTGACTTTTGACTTCGTGCCCGCACTCAATTCAAGAATGCCTGATCTTTGTGCTTTTGAGTTTTAAATCTATAGCAAAGAAAAGGACCCAAGAACTACAAGTTCCGCTATAATGTCCACTAGCACTATCCCTTGCTTGTCAATCGTGTTATTGCATGAGCTGATTGTCAAGTAACTGGTGGTGTTAGTGGACATTAGAGTGTAACTTGTAGTTCCTTGGTCCTTTTCTTTGCTATAAATTCATCCTTGGCTCTCCGTCCGAATCCATTTTTATTTTATATGAGTCGAAATTCAGATCAATATACACTGGTCTTAATGGGACCAGTTACGACCTAAAACTCTCCCCCCCCCCCCTCCTCTCCTCTCCTCTCTCCTCCCTCTCCCCCCCCCCCCCCCCCTTCTCTCTCCCCCCTCTCTTTCTGTCTCTCCCTCCCTCCCTCTGTCTCTGTCTCTCTCTCTCTCTGTCTCTCTCTCTGTCTCTCCCTCTCTCTCCCTCTCCCTCCCTCTCACTCACTCACTCTCTCCGTCCTGTCTCCTCTGCAGTCGGTCATGGTGGAGCGCATCGCCCGCATTGTCTCATTGGCCGTATCATTACGCTGTGCGCCGCTCGTGTCCAGTCTGGCTCGCTGGATATCGGTAAGACCGGGACACACACTGACACACTGTACTGACCATGAGTAGTACATATTTTACTACTCCTTCGTACTGACACTATACTGACACTGGAAGACGCGGATACACACTGACACACTGGACTGACACTGGACTGACATTGTACTGACATAGTACCGTACGATACCAAGAGTAGATAAACAAGAGTGTGCAACTCGCGGATGGGTTGGCCCACGGCTGATTTTTTTTTTGTTGACGTAATCTTTTCGACGACGCATGCGCTGCGAGTCTTTTGGAAAGTTTTCCCTTGTGCACTTGGCCGCATTTGCACTACACCGTCGGTGCCCAGCACGTGCTCTCACACTGCTCTGCGGCAAATGCGCGTTTCTCTGAAAAAAGGTGACGTCAACAAAAATTCCGCCGTGGGCGGGGGTATCTGCAGATGTGCAGGAGAGATCCGAAGTTGCACACTCCTGTTTATCTACTCTTGATGACACTACTTATTCGTACCTTCTTTTTTCTTTTCACAGTATCTCTATTTTGAGACTTTATCTTGCCCGTAAAAGAGGCCGTTACCCCGAAAAAAAATGGTACCTTCGCCTTCAGTCGATGCTTTCCTGTTCTCATGAATTGTTTGTGCGTATCATGGTCAACGCAGACCTGGCTGGGCGTGTGACATTTCGGTTGTTTATTTATTTATTTCTGTGTCGATGGTGTGGCGACTTTGTTTCTGTCGGCATGCCTGCGTGTTGGTGCGTGCATGCATGTGTGTGTCCACGTGCATACACCCATGTCTGTTCCCACCATGCCGCCGCAGTGCTTCGATCGTCGTCTGTACAAAATCCCTGCCGCCCCTGCCGCAGCGGCCTCGAGTGCAAGCGGCACGTCCAGCAGCAGCAGCACAGCCGTCGCCACCGCAAACAGCAGTGCTGGCAGTAGCAGTAGCAGTGGTTGTGGTGGTGCCCGTCAGCACGTGTCCGTGTCTGGCGCCGTGGCGGACACGCTCGTCAACGACTTCTGCCTGCTGACGCAGCACGACATGGAGAAGCTCTCCTGTCTGCCAGAGCTGAGTCTGGACATGGCGGCTCTGTTCATTATGGAGTACCTGCAGCAACACCCGCTGCTGACGAAGGAAGACGACAGCGGCAGCAGTAGCAGTAGCGGCAGCAGCAGCAGCAAGAGAGGGAGTGGCGGGGGTGGTAGCAGGACTGGGAGCCGCAGCGGTAGCAGTGCCAGTTCTGGTGAGTGTGCTTGCAATCATGGGTGCAATGTTGCCACTTGCCACCTCCTACGGGACCGTCCGTAATAGTTATCGATCTTTTACACGACACGAAAAGTTCCATTTGTGGGTGGGAGTTTCATTTTGAAAAATATTTAATGTGTGAGACATCAATGCCTTCTAGCTGTCAAGTCAATCCATTTTTCATTCAGGGGGGGGGGGGGGTGGGGGGGTTGGAGTGTCGTAACTGAACTTTTTCGTTTCGTGAAAATTATCGACACTGCCGGATGACCCCTAACGGCTGCAGTTTGCTATGTGTTTGAGTTTGGCACGTTGTCCAGAGTCCGTGAATTTATAGTGTTTCTAGAATATTCTGGAAATCTAGAAGCTGTGCTATGCGAATTGAGAACTGTCAACTGTTTCTTCAATTTCACTTGTAGATGCTTCAACAAAGCCCAAGTCGGAGGCCAAGGTTAACCTTCCACACCACAATCTAGTGGCGATGTTTTCATCCTGGCTGGTGAAATGGCCGTCACTGTCTCTGTGCAAGAGGCAAACTAACTTGCCCACTGGTGTTCCACTGAGTCGGGAATGGTCGGTACGGCCTCCAAGCTCATCATCCAAGACGTCGTCGTCGTCAGCAGTCCCAGCTAGAAAGCGCGATGATCCAAAGATTCTGGTGAGATTTTGTAATTACATTTGGCTTCAATGTCTTGTGGCGCGCCAGGATGGGTGTCGACGCGCGCAGTCTGTATGTGTGTGTGTGCGTGCGTGCGTGTGTGTGTGTGTGTGTGTGGATATGTGTAAACTTAACATAGTATGTGTGTTACCTGTTGGTGGGAGAGTAGTACGGGTGCAGGCTGGCTGAATGGTATGATGTATGGTATGTGCCGTGTGATGTGTGCTAACTGCTGTGTGATGTGCAATGTGTGCTGTGTAATGTGTGCCGTGTGCCGTCGCTGCCGTGTGATTTGTGCTGTGTGCCGTCACTGCCGTGTGATGGTGTGTTGTCTATGCAATGTGTGCTGTGCAATGTGTGCTGTGTGATGTGTGTTGTGTGATGTGTGCTGTGTGCCGTCACTGCTGTGTGCCGTCACTGCTGTGTGCCGTCACTGCTATGTGCCGTCACTGCTGTGTGCCGTCACTGCTATGTGCCGTCACTGCTATGTGCCGTCACTGCTATGTGCCGTCACTGCTATGTGCCGTCACTGCTATGTGCCGTCACTGCTGTGTGACGTCACTGCCGTATGCCGTCACTGCCGTGTGCCGTCACTGCTATGTGCCGTCACTGCTATGTGCCGTCACTGCCGTGTGCCGTCACTGCCGTGTGCCGTCACTGCCGTGTGCCGTCACTGCCGTGTAACGGTATGTTGTCTGTGCCTGTCTGTACCCTACAGTGCCCTCTGCAAGGCTTGAGCTCGCTCTCCGTGTACGGACCGCTCGCCTGCCAGTTTGTCGTCTGCTCCAACACGTCTGCTGCCACTGCTGCCACAGTCACATCGGGCTCGACAACGGCAGCACAAAGCACAGAGGTGTCGTCGTCATCAGACTCCAGAACAACACCAGCAGCAGCAGCATTGAGTTCTGCTTCTGCTAGCAGCATCGGTAAGGATCTGCATACCACAGGGTCGGTATAACACACCTCATGGTCGGTACAATGCGGAGTTTCGGTTTACTGCGGCTGGAGTACCAGTAGTTGATGGTGTGTTTGGTACATGATGGCGACGTCTTCTCTTGGTTTAGCCAGTCCTGCACCACCACGCCGCGCTGTTGTCTGTCCTCCTCGTGACGTGTTTTTTGTTTGTTCTCCCCGTGACATGCTTGTTGCTGCAATGTCTTGACATGTTTGTTCTCGTCGTGACGTGTTTGTTGTTGCAATGTCGTGACGTGTTTTTTGTTGTAATATCTTGTTCTCTGTTCTCCACAGTAGTCACGGCGGCGTCTGCGACCTCCGGCGGTGGCACACAGGCTGGGTACGAGGACAGTCTGGCACAGCTGCACGTGCAACTCCTGCAGGCTGTGTCCGCGCACCAAGACCACACGGTCGCCGCGACAACAGCAGTGGCCGCGTCCGGTAACCAGGCACCAGCAGCAGCAACTCCGCCGTCGTCCAAGCGCAGGAAATCGTCGTCGACGGCGAGCAAATCGGGAAAGGGTGACAGAGCGCCGGAGTCATCGTCAGCATCAGTATCGCCATCGCCTCCGCCGCGACTGTTGACGGCTGGCGGCTTGCTGGACATAGTGCAGCAGTGTCACGACTTGTGGAAGCTGGCTCTCGAGAAAGGTGCGCGTGGTGTGTGGTTGCGTGCACGAAGCGTCTGAGGGAGTGTGTGCACGAGCGTATGCGTCGTGTGATAGCGCAACTGAATAGGCAGCCTTGACTTGTTGTCATTGTTGTTGCTGGTGATGTTTAGTTGTAGAGTAAAACCTGGTTTTAAGCGACCACCCCACGGTGCAAGCAAACACGGTCGTTAAAGCCAGGTGGTATTTAGAACCAGGTCCCACAGTGTCTGTGTAGAACTGTGGGTGCATGGAAAACCGGTCGTTAAGAGCAGGTGGTCGCTAAATCCAAAGGTCGCTTACACCAGGTTTACTGTGCTGGCAAGCCGATATAAAGCCTGTGAACCTTCCTGTAAGCTACTTGTCCAGGCATTGCACAACATTGGTGTTGGTGTTGGTATTCTTTATTCTACTTCATCAAGCGCACAGGCACTGATACCTTCTCATCAGCCCAACGGCTGGCTCTCACAGAATGATGAGAATTGGGTGCCATGAAGGTAGCATTGGGTATTTTGAAATCCCTTTCTTGGTGTATATCGCGCAACATTGACATGTGAACGGTGCATGTTGGTATTTGTGCGCGTGTGTGCGTTGTGTGTGTGTGTGTGTGTGTGTGTGTGTGTGTGTGTGTGTGTGTGTGTGTGTGTGTGTGTGTGTGTGTGTGTGTGTGTGTGTGTTGAACACATAACAGGATTCGATGTGGACCGTACAGTGTCTGTGGCAGTGGAGCACTTAGCACAACTGCTCCAAGTCATGAGCACCGCTGGATTCCTGTCCTTGAAGAAAGGTACATGCCTACGTTTGCTGCGACTTGTTAGGCGTTCTTTCCTGCCCCCCCCCCCCTCTCTCTCAGTCTCTCTCTCACTCTCTCTCTCTCTCTCTATCTCTCTCTCTCTCTCTCTCTCTCTCTCTCTCTCTCTCTCTCTCTCTCTCTCTCTCTCTCTCTCTCTCTCTCTCTCTCTCTCTCTCTCTCTCTCTCTCTCTCTCTCTCTCTCTCTCTCTCTCTCTCTCTCTCTCTCTCTCTCTCTCTCTCTCTCTCTCTCTCTCTCTCTCTCTCTCTCTCTCTTGTTGTGCAATACTCCTTGTACATCAGGTATCTCTTAGTCTGTCCAATCCTATAATTATTATGATCATGAATTCATGATATTCAGAGTGTTGCAGATAATGATAAAACTGGTAGGGAAAGTAATAGAGACGTGCTGCTTGCTGAAGAAGTACAAAGGGACGATGAATCCTACCGCGACGGAATTTACTCCCGGAAAATTGGCTGCCCGGCCAAAATACCTCACGAAACTCATTTCACCGATTTGCATAGGTAGGTTGCATAGGTTGTTCATCAAAATAGTGAATCCTGTAAAGGTTATGCGAATGATTTGTTGTGTTGAGCCAGTGGACCCGCTTACGAGCGCTAGGTATACAGCATGAGTTAGCGGACCCGCTTATAGGCGCTATGCATGCAGTATGAGTCGCTAGTGCGCTATACCGCGGGTCAGCGACTTTGCCGAAGCATCTCAACTGATGCTGTTATCGCATAACCTCCATAATAATATTTGCTGGTGACCGATGAAGAGATACCTCCTAGTCTGTTTTTTCATCATTGTTGCTGTCTGTCTGTCTCTCTATATATATAGATCATCTGGAGAGAATACGTACTAGCCTTCCGTCAAACCGGTTAGTTCCGTCTGGCTGTTCATGTGTCTGTATGCTTGTATGCTTGTATACACGTGTCGTCACGGGTTTGAAATCGTGAACGAACTGCCTCTACGCTCCTCGCCACGCCACACAACAGAGAGCCAGTACAAATTGTTAGAGAGCTTTTCTTCTACTTCATTTCAGTAGGCGACTGGGGAAACTCATAAAGAAGAACCAACGCTGACAACGAACGACTGACGACTGACAACAACTGACGACGACCGTCGGACAACTGACCACGAACGTCGGACAACTGACTCTGACAACGAACGTCTGACAACTCACGACTGACATGGCAAAAGGAAAACATGATATCAGAAATTGGTGCCCTCGTCAGCACAAAAGGTGGTGTACTCAGCACAAAAAGGTGCACTTGTCAACAACAAAGCAGCGCAGCAGCATGTACGGGTCAGCAACAAAGCAGCGCAGCAGCATGTACGGGTCAGCAGCACAGAGACACAAATACAGCAGCAGCTACGACGAAGAGACAACACGTGCAGCCACATGTACACACAGAGACACAAATACAGCAGCAGCTACGACGAAGAGATAACACGTGCAGGCGCAGGTACAACACTATCCCCTACCAAAAAAGACATCCACTCCTGTGGATGGAAGCAAAAGTGAAGTGTATAAAAAACGGAAGAAGACAGACCGGAGAAGAAGACAGAAAGACAGGGGAAATGAAATATGAAGCAACATAAACAGGCGACAATAAAACACAAAAGAGGTGGGCCACAACTGTTGAACACATGACGAGTAGGCCAGGAGGGTTAACACCAGTCGGGGAGCCCCGCAAAACTGTGCAACAATCAACAGAACCTGCAAGCAACAGATTTTGCAGAGGACACCGGCTGGCGAGCTGTTCGACCTGTGTTTGTCCCTTTGGATCTTTTTATTCTTAGAACAGCACCAACCTAGTACGCCACCCATCCACCAGTCATGACAAAACAAAAGTACAAATGCATGAGAAAACAGGTTATGCCGACGGACCCAGCAACGCTTCCAGGAGCGGCGAGACCGACAGTACGCACCGACCGAGAAGACTGGGGCAGCAGGACGCACACTGGCCGGCTGTCCGAAAACCGATGGCGCTACAGAAACTCCGAGAATCACAGGACACACACAGAAAGAGAGAAGGACTGACGCAAACATCTCAGCCATCACCAAAAATCAGAAAAGCACACGAAGGAAGGGAAGAACAGCCAGGAAGAACACGTCGACTGAAACAGGAGCAATTAATCAGTGAGGACACCATTGAGGACACACAAACAAATCGGTTACCAATACGCAAAAGATAATGAAGAAAAACCACAGTGCGCTACCCTGAATAACCACAGGTCTCTAACCTGAAAAAACCCACAGGGATTGAACCTGAAAAAACCACAGGGATTGAACCTGAAAAAAACCACAGGGATTGAACCTGAAAACCTACAGGGATCGAACCTGAATAACACGGAACTTATAGTACATCCGCTCACAAAACCGAAAAAACCGAAGAAAAAAAACTGTCCGGCACCGACTGGGACGCACAAGGGCTAACCAGCAACACACGGAAACCATAACACCCGCAAGGCAAACCGATACAAAAAAGCGCAGGATCCCTGCAGACCACCAAGCAGACCGTGGCTCACCATGATCAGACGCCCACCCAGGCGAACTA